TTTCCCTCCACCTACCCACCTAAATGTGTGTGTTACTTAACCTCTGAGTGGTGTTTATTTTCCAGCAACTTCAGATGAGGCTTCAGGAGAAAGAAAAAGAAGTGGACAATCTCACCATTCAGATACAGGCAGAAAAGGTAGCCTCCTCTTTCTCTTTTCCCCTCCCTGCTCCACCTTCCAGTTCTGTAGAACCACAGATAGTCCAAAATATGGGTTTGTACTTGCAGACGATTACTTTCTAAGGGATCAAAGGACTGGCTTGCTTATAAAACGAGACAGAGAGCTATCTGTACCCACACAGCTGTGGATTCCATATTCTGCTAATAAGATACCCATCATAAGGATGAATAGGTAGTATTCTCTTTGGGCTTATCACTGAATTGCCTTTCTGTTTAAGGTCCTGTCGGTTCCTGATGTCAAATTCCAGTCTGTTCCTCTGTTTAGGAAGTAAAAAGGGAACATAGTGGAAGACCCCAGATATGAAGGATGTTTTGCCATAGAACAAATCTTTCAGGCCGGTCATTCACATCTGATGTAAAATAAATGACTACTCATTTGTTGCCCATTTTGTTTGTGTAGAGGAGCTGTGAGGGTCCATCTAAGGAAACTGGAGGTGGCTGGAGATCATTCAGTGAAGAAATCTGAGACAGTTAACACGTACTAGAAAGTGTTCCTTCTATTACCTTGTTGAGGGAAAAGGTGTATCTTGTTTGCTTCCTATTTAGGACCAGGCAAAGACAGCATGTGAACTCTCCAAATCTATGGAGGCTGTGAGAGGCCATTTACAAGTGCAGTTGCGAAACAAAGAAGCTGAGAACAACCGTCTGACCATACAGATACGGGTATGTTTTCACTGGTCCCTGGGGATTGTCTCTTCGTTTACTCTCATGAACTGAATTGACTGACAGGGGAAGTAGCACTCACCAGTGACTCTTCTGCTGTGTCTGGTAGGCTGAAATACTGGCTGGTGACGTTTATGCCGTTAACACACACGCCATACTTTTCAAATGAAGTAAAAAAAGAAAAAGCTTTTCACATTTGATGCATGAGGCAAAATCATAACCTTAAGGTCTATGTGCATTTATTAGAATTTTTTTTTCTAAGTTGTTTACTACATAATTATTTAAGAGATGGTTTTGGTTTAATCAAGCATCAAGACATTGTAAACTATTTAATTTGTTTTCTGGGAGAAATGCTGTGCCATGAGTTCCTGTATTTGATCAGCCTCATGCAGGCTTTCTGCAGTATTAATGAGGAGGAGAAAGTTCCCCTGGTTTATCTTGACCAAAGTCTTATGTTTAACATATCTGTTGATGTTGTGATGATGTTATGTTTTGGTATGATATGTGTGTTAATGGTTTAAGAGCTTTAATTTTGTTGAACTATATAGCTGCGTAAAGCAACATTATTATATACAAGCATTTCCATTAATAAAAGGAATGTTCTCAGGTAGATCAAAAGACTAGTAGACTGTCTTGGTCAGGAGAGGAAATCAGTATTCTAGAGAGCAGCTTATGAAAGAAGAAAGGACTCTTGGAAGGGAAGGAAGATGTGTCACGCTGACATGTCTGTCAGCATTAGGACAGGATTGTGTAGGTGAAATGTGACTCCAAGTAGCTCCGGGCTGAAGGCTGGGAGTTTATACCCAGCTCTCTCCTCTGTTTCTAGGAAATCAGTTGCTGCTTTGGATATGCAGGTACAAGGGCATTATTCCATATGGTGTGTTTTCTTCCCCCCTGCAGAATCTGGAGCGCAGTGAAGCTCAGCATAAGGCAGAAGTGCAACATATCATGGAACAACTGAAAGAGCTAAGGCAGAAGGCAGATCGTGATAAAGAGGCCCTGAAAAAAGCCATCCGCGCACAGAAAGAGCGGGCAGAGCGAAGTGAAGAGTATGCAGAGCAATTGACTGTCCAGCTAGCAGAAAAGGTACCTGATAATACAGGAGGAGAGACCTCATTTCACATCCTGCATCTAAATCTTTCACTTCTGGTAGCAGCTCTGGGGAGAATCTCTGCTTTCAACTAATGAGATTTATTTCTGTCTTGATGCCTTGGCCCATTTATGCTAAGTTTAGAACAAATCCAGTTTTCTCAGCTGTCGCTTATATTCGCTGCATGTCCTTAACTTAGGACATGCAACAACTTAGATCATTCTAAACCAGCAGATCTGATTTTTCACCTGATTCTTTAGAACCATCTGAGGGTTGACAAAAGCAAATAAAATAAAACCTTGTGGTTTTGACTGAAAATTCTGAATGGAGCTGGTTGTTAATCAAAAAACTAGTATGAGCAGAAAAGTACAAGGGCTTAGAGGTGTACTGGAATTTCCTGTTGAAAAATGACTGAAGGATATAAAGAAAAAGTAGAAAAGTTAGGACTAAAAATGAATCAGAAGGGAACATGGATTTCACACTACTTGATTATTTTTTTCCTCGCCTTTGTTTTTAGAATTCCAGGGACCAGAGCCACTAATAGAATCTTAGCCATGCTTTGTATTTCTGATAGTTCATCTACCTTCAAAGAGGATTCTTCTTTCGCTGCTGTTATGTCTGTTGGCTGACAGTAGTTGGAGAACACCTCTCTCTGAAGGATCAGGAAGAATAAAAATAAATACTTGTCCTCAATATTTTAAAAGTCTTAGTGGAGTCTCTGCACATATCATGCTTACCCATACCAGCATCTCTGCATGTTGTCTGCATATCCCATGTCCAGTAACATTTTTGTCACCCTTGCTCTTTTCCTCACACCTTTCTTTTGTTCATCAGGACAGTTATGTTGCTGAGGCGCTGTCTACTCTGGAGTCCTGGAGGAGTCGCTACAACAAAGTAGTAAAGGACAAGAGTGACCTCGAACTGGAAATTGTTACGCTGAACAGGTGGGGATGACTTCTAAGTTCAAGGATAATGTAATTGAATTTAATTAAATAATAGCATTACATTGAATAATTTAATTGGATTGCCTGTAAATATCCAAGCAAAACCAATGCTACCTAAAGGCTAGAGCAGAGTTTGGAGAGGTTGAGAGAGATGGCTTCTGCTGCTGACTTGCCACAGTAAAGGCAGACTTTTTAAGGGTTTCCTGACCCTTAGAACTCTCTTCCTTTGCCATTTTGTAATGCTTTGAAAGAATTAAGGTTAGCTTTCTTTTGAGATCTATTTGAGATGCTCGAATGGAAGGGATTAGAAGAGATAGTATAGTTTGTGCCAATTTTGTTTTAAGGCTAAATAAATGTGTTGGTATCACTGCGGTACAGTTGTTGTTGCAGGAAAAAATAGATAGGTACGAGATGAGTACATCTTTATCCTGTGTATCTTGGAGGCAATGGATTTGAGGCACAGGGGGACAACTCAAGTTAATTTCCAGCAGGCTAAGAAGATTGAGGTAGTAGAACAGTGTAACAGATAGGTGTGCAAACCTGACTGGAGGAGGAAAATGAAAGGATAGGGAAAAAGCCATGTTTCTGAAACAATTTTCAAGGGTTAGAAGTCTTATTCTTTCCTGTCACTTAACGATTAATTTTCTTTCTGTATGGCAGCCGTGTTGCAGATTTGCTGGAACAACAGACAACCCTGGAGGACAAGATGCGGGAGGACAGAGAAGCTTTGGTGGATAAATTGCATCGACAGACCACAGAGACCACTTCTTTCAAAATGGAGAATGAAAGGCTAAAGGTCAGTTATTCTAAGAGTTTGAAGCTGAAACGCTAGGTAAAAAAAGGATAAATTTTAACAAGTTGCTTGGCCTCTGAGAACAGCATTGAATTGTACCTATTGCTGCTGTTTAGTTTCAAACCAGTTTTACCATAACCTGAGTATGGTAAGTATAGCAAGTATGCTGGGAAGAGACATAAAGAAAGAAAGTGAACGTTCTGGGAGGGCTGGGTTTCTTGCATGTTTTGGCTAGGAGTGCCTCCAATCCAGTGCTGTTTCCTCCAGCTGGGATCTTACATCTTATCCTTACATCTTCATGCTGCGTGCAGAGAACAAACAACTGTAGCTTATGCAGAACAACTGTAGCTCGTGCAGAAAGAATGGTAATCTCCAGAATAAAAATAAGACTGGCATATTTCTCCTGTCATCTCTTACCCCTGGTGATCTTGTTGGTGACCTACATAATTTTCTTCTTGGAAAGCTAGGCATTGATCCAAATAAGGAGTGGCCCTAATCCAAGTAGCACAGCTCATTTAGGCAGATGGAGAAATTGCACATCCATCCCAAACCTTTGTGCTCTGCTGGTGTAAATTTGGCAAGCCACTGAAGTCTGGAAAGTTTTGTAAACTTACGCTGACAAGTCTTTTTTCTTAGCCTAGGCAATGTTAGACAGCTAGCATGGCAGTTACTTCCAAGCACTCAATGGAAGATGTTTTCTTTTTTCAGGCTAGTGTGGTCCCAATGGAGGAAAAGCTGAACCAAGCGCAGATGGAAGTGCAGCAGCTCAAGAGCTCTGTCAGGAACTACGAAGGGTTGATTGAAACCTACAAGTCACAGGTAGGCATTTTATCAAAACCTTCAGCCCTTGCACAAATGTGTTTTCTCCCTTCATTGTTGTGGTTTATTCTCTAATACCTTAACGCTTTGTTTGCTCTTGGAGGAAGTTGCAATTTCATATGGTTTTGGTTCTTTTGTCTCTATTAGCATGACTTTTTCTCAAATGGCAGCATTCAGACTGCCAGGTCTGTGTGCCAAAGTATGGAAGACTTGCCTTCCTCACTATGTTCTGATAACTTGGTCATTAGGAAGAGCTGACTCCCACAGCAGAAATCTTGATTAATGGAAAACAAAAGACTGGTTTTAATTATTTCACTTTTCCGTGCTCCTTTTCAAAAGGAAAACAGTGAGATGCTTTCTTCTGCCTTTTGGCGTGGCAAGTACTGTTCCTTGGCTGCTCTTCTGGGGGGATTTTGGATATTGTGATAGTAGAAAGATAAGGCAAGAGAGGAGAATGCTTGGTGGAAAGCCCAAATGATCCAGGTGACAGAAACAGAAAGTGAACTTCCAAATACTGTTCGGGGGGGGGCAGTTAGTGAGGCAAGAAACTTGTTGCTGATTCTTGAGCAGATTTAGTTACTCCAAAGCACTGCACATTTGTTGAAAACTATATATGACAGATAAAGTACGTGGAGTTCTTTGTATGTCCAGGTGTTGAAGACCCGAATGGAAGCAGATGATGTGGCAGCAAAACTGGAGAAGTGTGATAAAGAGAACAAGACACTAAAGGATGAAATGAACAAGGAGATTGAACTGGTAACTATTCCTCTAAAGATTGCTATGTTGTAGACAGTTATGGATCTCAATCTTCTGAATGTAGTGAAAAATGGCTGTGAATAGGAAATAAAAGGCTTATCTGAGTTTGCCTTTTCCAATAGTTTTTCTCAAGACTCGTTCATTCTGTAAAATTTATTTAACATTTAGCAGCTTCTTTTTTACTATATGGCATTCTTTAGAGTTAAATTGCTTAGTGTGTCCTTTGCTGCAGAAATGATGGTTTAGAACAGTGGAGTATGCAGGTTACACCATTGTCTGATGTGGAACAGCTGTCCTCAAAAAAGAACTTGCACTTCTAGTAAAATTGAAGCCCAGGATCCAAAATACTCATTCTCACTCCATCAATAGGGAATGCCAAATCCTAAGAAGAAAGCCTTTTGGAGTAGGAGAAGACCTTAGGCTTTGAACTCCAACACTGGACAAATATCCACACAGTGTCATCACGGTTGCAGACTAACAAAGCTTCACTGAAGTTGAGAAACTTTTTAATCTTGACCTTATGAATATCTGAAGGCTTCTCATGTTTCTCTTTGTAGGCACGTAAGCAGTTCCAGAGCCAGCTTGCTGAACTGGAAAAGCTGCCTGAGATCCTAAAGATCACAGAGACGCAGCTAGCAGAATGTCAGGACCAGCTTCAGAGTTATGAGAAGAAGAATGTGGACCTGTCTGTCATGATTGCAGATCTTCGTCAGCGGGTAAGGGACTGGCAGAAAGCACCTGCAGCACTGCAATCCGCAAGTCTGAAACCAAGATGAATTTCTAATCGCAGGAAGGTTCAAACTTCGTCTCTGTTCTCGTCTCTTTTTTGAAAAGATTAAACGTGCACTGCAAAATAAAGGTGTGTGCCATGTCTTTGTGCAAGAAGTTAGTGGCGTAGCTAGTAGCATTCCTTACTATTTGAAAGGTTTCTTATCCCTTGGTGCAGAACCTTGTTGGGAACTGAATAGCAGCAGTGACACCACTTGCTAATGCCAGTGCTCCCTTCTGTTACTTCCATCGTGTTGTCAGCTTTCCCTCCTGTGGTTTTCTGCTGATAGTGCTGTCCCAACCTTGTTTTCTCACCCTGCTTTCAACTTGGTTTCCCCGTCTCTGTTTTTTGTCCCCAGGAAGACTGTGTAGGCATTGCAGGACAATTATAGACAGTCATGACTTGTACAGCCATGCCTCAAGACACAGCAAATGATCTTGTAGTCTGACTGCTTTACTCAGGCTTGGAATTAATAAACCTTCCTGGTATTTTGGGCTTTAATGCCTTTGTGGGCTGCTGTCATGTATATGGCTACTTTTAATGTGTGTGTGCTTTGCTGTGCTTACAGGTGGCTGCTCTGCATGCAAGTATTTACAGACCTGGCTTTTCATTTGCAATATGGAAGAATTTTCTCATACCTTTCCAAACATTAAGTGGAAACACCAGGAAAATGGATGTTTAGTGCTTTGCTTTTCTATCTATTGTTCCTTTTCTAGGAGTCACCAGAAATTATGAATTGAGAATGTTTTCTTTTGGAGAGCTGCATGCATTTTAGGTGGTTGGTCATGTGTGTGTAGTGATTACTCTGTAAAGTAATTACGTACTGTAATTTTTAGATTGAGCTCCAGGGGGACAAAATGGAGATGACGAGAGAGAGGTATCAGTCTGCCCAGGAGGAGAAAAAGCAGCTTACCTTGAAGGTGGAGGAGCTAGAAAGGTTAGAAATACTAGGCTCTCTTGCTCTCTTAACCTTGTTTCCATCCTTTTCCCATTGTTTTTTCAGGGGATTGAAACAGCGTCAGTCTACTTCCAGTCCCCCACGTCCCTCCAGGATTCTGTGCATTTGCTTATCCCACAAGGATCTTTAATCAGTAGCTGGAGAGAGAATTCTAGGTTTTCGCAGCATCTTTTACAAATGTTGGTAGAAAAGATGATAGCTTACACAGATAAACCAGCTCCTTGTCCAATCTAGCCTGACAATTTTGAAGTTACTGAATATTACTGTGTTTTTACCCATGTTTATAAAGTCTTTTTAGTGGCAATGTCTGGGAAAATGCAGGTATGTGAATACTCTGTATGTCCTTCAATCTTTGAAATTTTGATTTGAGAAGTGGAGAAGTGTTTCTTGGGGCTCTCGCATTTCAAGGGGGGAACGGAATCTATTCCCAGACTAGTCAGGACCTGACAAAAAGGCAGACTGCGACACACTCCATTTAAAATGAATAGGTTTCCTTCCCTTATTATCTTAACCTAGAAAACTAGAGACAACGAGCACCCAGAACATAGAATTCCTTCAGGTCATAGCAAAACGTGAGGAGTCGATCCACCAGTGTCAGCTGCGGTTAGAGGAGAAGACCCGTGAATGTAGCTCCTTGGCACGTCAGTTGGAGATGGCCATTGAAGATGCCAAAAGACAAGTAAGTAATTTGTGTTTGTGAATTCTTCCGAAACTACCCAGACTGTAAAAGGGGAACCGTGAGAATGCTGGAAATGTCTCCTCAGCCTGGGACCAAATTCATTAAAATCATCATGTTCAGTCAAATACAAATAATAAAATGCGCTGGTACTGTTTGTCAGCACTTATACCATTGAAAAACTGAACTCTGCACTCCAGTT